AAACAGTTCTTGTTAGATCTCTAAATATTGATATCAGATGATGTAGAATACCTTCCGTATCTTCTTGCTTTTGTGTTTTTTTCTTGTTCCCTAGCACTTCTGTGTGTCTGAACTTCACTGCTATTCAGGGGCTTGCTGGCTGTTTTAGCCTATTCCAGGTGACCTCATGAGTACACAGGACTGTTTTATTTTTCTGTATCACTTCAAAATTCTTTACTTAGAATCACAGCATCATAGGATATCTTTGGTTGGAAGGGACCTTAAAGATCATCTAAACCCAACTGCCCTGCCATGGGTAGGGATGCCACCCACTAGACCAGGTTGGCCAAGGCCCCATCCAGCCTGGCCTTGAACACCTCCAGGGATGGGGCATTCACAGCTTCTCTGGGCAACCTCTTACAGTGCATCACCACCCTCTGAGTGTGAAGAATTTCCTCCTAACCGCTAATCTAAATCTTCCCTCTTTTAGTTTAAGATCATTCCCCCTTGTCCTATCATTACCTGCCTGAGCAAAATGTTGCTTTTTTCCTTTTTTTTTTTTTCTTTCTTAATAAGCCCGCTTTAAGTATTTAAAAGCTGCAATGAGGTCTCCCTGGAGCCTTCTCTTCAGGCTGCCCATGCCCAGCTCTCTCAGCCTTTCTGCATAGGAGAGGTGCTGACCAACTCTGCAGCCGTCCTCCGGACCCTCTCTAACAGACTCCTCATCTTTCCTGTGCTGGGGTCTCCAGACCAAGATGCAGGACTCCAAGCGGGGCCTCACAAGGGCAGAGCACAGGGGCACGATCACCTCCCTCCACTGCTGTTCTCTGATGCAGCCCAGGATGCAGCTGCCCTTCTGCTGGCTCATGTCGAGCTTTTTGTCCCCCACAACCCCCAAGTCCCTCCCTGCAGGGCTGCTCTCAGTGAGTTCTTCTCCCAACTGTACTCGTGTCTGGGACTGTCCTGACCCAGGTGCACTTGGCCTTGTAGAACCTCGTGTGGTTCCCGTGGGCCCCCTTCTGCAGCCTGCCCAGGTCCCTCTGGATGCCAGCTCTTCCTCCTTTGGTATCAACCACACCTCTCAGCTTGGCGGCATCTGCAAGCTTGCTGAGCATGCACTCGATCCCCCTGTCTATGTGGTTGATCAAGATATGAAACAGCACCGGTCCTAGGGACAGACCCCTGAGGGACACCGCTCGTCACCAGCCTCCACCTGGGCACGGAGCCGTTGAGCACCACTCTGGGTATGGCCTTCAGGCCCATTCCTTATCCACGGAATGCTCCACGCACCAAATCCACATCACTCCAAGCTGGAGATCAGGATGCCATGTGGGACCGTGCCAAAGGCCTTACACAAGGCCAGGTAGAGGACATCGGTCGGTCTTCCTGTGTCAACTGACTCAGTCACTCCATCTTAGAAGGCCACCAGATTGGTCAGACACGATTTGCCCTTGGTGAAGCTGTTCTGGCTGTCTTGGAATGCCTCCTCGTCCTGTGTGTGCCTTGACATTACTTCCAGGAGGATTTGTTCCATGATCTTCCCAGTCACAGAGATGAGGCTCACCAGTCTGTAGGTCTCTGGGTACCTTAAATGTCACTTGATTTGTTTTCCTAGTTATGGAAAGCTATGCACTTTTTGTATTATCTTAACCAAAAACATTTTAGCTGTTGATTGTGTGGCCAATAAAACAGCAACTTATCTTGCAAAGCTGTTGGGAATCTAACTTTTAACACTATGAGGGTCCTCCTCTTGTAGTTCAGTAAGGTACTGAGAGGTTAAACAACTGAAGAAATCTTTCAGGTAATAAAGATCAGACCTACAGTTACAATGCCTGTTTCATAAATGAAGAAGCTCAAGTTCAGTCAGGCTTTTTGTATCTTCTTCTGGGCTGGAGGGCTGCTCAGAGTGTTACTGCTCTGCTCAGAAATTTTATTACTTAAAGACTCGATGTGTTGATGATTGGCTAATGCCTAGCAGTTCTGCAGGCACCACCCTTGCGTTAAACTAGAGTGTGATCATGTTAGTGGCAACATCCACTACTTGTTCTCTTAAAAGATGACTTCTGTCTTTCACCTGGCCAAGGAAATGAGCAGAGGTTTGTCTCCTGTGCTACTGCCCCATCCTCCTCACGCATCTTAGTTCAATGCGACAGCCCTTTGTCTGTCTGTATTATATCGTTGCCTGAGGTCTCAGTCAGTAGTATGTCTAGTTCACATTTCACACTGAGAAGCTTAGAAGAGGGATTTGTTCTGAGTTTGTTTTCTTTGTGTAGTAGTCTGCTTTTTATGCTTTTAGGTTTCCTCTCCATTTTCTTTTATCTAGTTACTATTGCCTGACCAGTTGTCTGTGTAGATGGCAAACTTCTTACATTACTGTTCTGTTGTTTTAGGATCTGATCTTAAGTTACTCTGATAGTATAATCTTTCTGTACCACAGCGTCCTTGCTCTGGAATTGACAGGTCAGAGGAAAATTAGCACTAGATTTCACAGTGTCTGGTCATGAGTTTTCCCTTACTGCACTGCTTTTTCCTGGGAACATCTGTTTGTTCTTTTTTAACTTCCTTTAAATGTGAATTATTTTTATTACACTGTATCAAAAGCTATTTGTAATGATTGATTATTTAAAGAACTTGTTTTGTGGCTTAAGATCTATTTGCTGAGAACTGAAATGGTGACAGTTCTGTTTCTCTTTGCAGTTTTGGAGAGTTGGCTGGATTATACAGGAGAGCTGGAGCCACCAGAACCACTAGCTCGACTCCCACAACTCAAACATTGTATAAAGCAGCTTATAACGGACCTAGGCAAAGTGCAACAGATTGCACTTTGCTGCTCATCATGAGACTAGAAAGTATTGGAGACTGTTATTGAGTGAAGTTGGAGCATCTGATGTGAACAGCTCTGTGTATTTAAATGAATTAGCATGCTGGTTGCATGTGATGCAGATTGACTTCAGGGATTTGTGAAGAACTGCTGTTCAAAGAACAGCAAAAAAGGTTAATTTTATCTCATAATTTTGGGTTTATTAGGCAATTATAACAATATGGAAGAGGTTAATACTGTTGTCTTCAAAGGTTGTGTGTTTGTTGATAAATTATACTTAAATTTTCACTCCTTACAACTTGTTCATTGAAACGGTAGACTTTTTTCATAATTAAATTGACTAAAATTTGTGCCACTGAAGAACAGAGTTCTAAGAGCCAAAAATGTTTAGTTGACAGAGGTTGTAAATAACTTTGCATAGTTTAAGTGACTTGTGTCATGTTTTATTCCTTCTGGTTTATGCATAATAGCACACAGTATTTAATCATTAGGAAATGTTATAACAGTTTTCAGACGTAGTAAGTATGAATGTCCTGCTCTTAACTATAAATTGTTACGTGGAAGTTTGCAAGTAACAGTGGCCTAACTCTCCCCTTCTATTATGTTAAATAATGTAGCAGAAGGTCACAGGTGGATTGCACTTACTTTCGGAATAAATGATTGTTTTCCATATTTATCCTGTCACTCTCACGTGACTTGGTACTGGGGAAACCCCTTAAGGTTGTGTTTGTGCATTCTTGAACTCTTCACTATGGCCATACCGTGCCTCCTGAGCTAGTGCTAGCAGGACACCCACACCCTTGTGGCAGTATAAGATACTGCCGTGAAAAGACTGGGAGTGCTTGGAGTTCCAGACTTGAGCAAGGTCTGTAATGGACATTATGTAGTTTTCTACCCATTTGTTAATAATTGCCATTCTGGTTATATTTTGAAATGTAGATTTTTTTCAATACTCTGAACGTGTTCATTGTAAAGACTTACTATGAATGTGTGGTTTTGGGAATCAGTTTATTTTATATTTGTGTAAATAAAGCCTCAAGATCTATGCATGAGGTACTGTCCTCACAGACAGTGAGTGGGTTATTATATTAACAGTATGTTCACAAAGTCCCTTTTTCTACCTTATGTTTTAATTTTCTGGTTTGTATTATTTTGTCAGAGCAAGGTGAAAATGCTGCTTAAGTTCAAGTTATATTATACAGTACTTTTTGAAACATTGATGTGTTGTAAGTATTTGAAATGTTAAGAGCCTTTCAACTGCAGATCATAGCTCCATAAATAATGGCTGCGACTTCAGTTTTCCTTCCCTAACGTTGCCGAGTTAAGTTCACTGTTGAAAATGCTAAGCTGTTTTTGCATTGAGAGGGTGTCCTGAAAAATCTGGATGTATCTTGATTTTTGTGTGTGATGGTAACACTGAAGGGTAAAATCAAAGAACAGTTGTCATTGGAAGGCCCGTAACTATACAATTTATTAATCTTGAATATGAGCCTGTAACGTTTGTATACTGCAAAGAATAATGACTTACTATGTAAATTCCTACAATAATATTGGAAATTTTAAGTTAACAGTATCTACACAGTGAATATTTTAATCAGTTACTTCAGACAACAATAATTAGGCTTCTCTAGTAGTAACTAAAGCTTTTGTGCCAGGAGTCATTTCAGGGAATAATTTGTCTCACAGTTTTGTAGTTGGTATATAGTGAATACAACTTATGTACAGCAGAAAAATAAATTTATTTTTCTGTAACACAGTTGGAATAAAGCTTATGTGATATTTAAGTAGCACTTCGATCTCTGAAGATGATACCAATGTTATACTCTCTCTCTCCTGTTAATGACACCTCAATTTATAAATGCTGTGTGTAGCTCTAGACCAGGCAACGTTAACCAACCAACCAGAACAGCATCAGAGGAGGACTACAAACAACTGTGAAGGTTTGTGGTTTTTTCAGGTTAGAATGACCAGAAGGGTGTTCCCTGGTTGAAATTCAAAGCACGTGTTTCCACCAGGAGTCTGAGAAGAATATAGCTGCTACTGAGCCAGCTGTGCTTGCAGTTTGAGGGTGTGAAGACAAGTCAGTTCCTGAGCAGACACTTCTCCAGAGTGGAACTTCTTTCCGAGCAATTGCTTTTTGTGTGCTCATTTTAAGTTTTTACTTCTGCTGTGTTTTTTTTTTTCCTTTTTTTTTTTTTTTTCTCAGGGCAATACTTATGGTTTGGAAGAAAAGACAGTTCTGATGGTTGAGTGAAATGACATACTGGAGACTTGTTTTCCTTAGTAGAGCTAGAGAATAAGTTCTTGCAGGTAAAGACTGAAAATATTTATTTAAAATAGACTAGCATTTTTCATGTTCAGGAAAGTTTCTTTAATGTACTTTTCCTGGGTTCATTTTTGTCCTTTTTTTTTTTTTTTTTTTTGCAAGTTTCCACATTGTTATTTCTTAGTCTGGACCAACTGTTTGGTCTGGCAAGTCACTTTTTTATGTTTCTTTAAATCACTGGTAAGTGAATGCAACGTGGAGCCTTGATGAAATGAGCAAACATTGCACTGTGGATACATAAGTATATTTGTCTTTGTTAATGCACTATTAGAACTGAGGGCGCTGTATATAAAATTTTGCTTTGGAGCAATATTTGCAAAACTTGAAAACTGTACCTTGGTGTTTGGAATAAATAAATAGGTTTTTGTTGGTTAAGTCTTAGTAAAGTCTTTGTTTCAATTAATGATTATTCACTAAAATATTTTTGGACTCTTGTGTACACTTCACATTGAAACATAGGTACAGTAGTTAGAGTAGAATGGAGATCTTAACTGTTCTCAAAGCATCAGTGATTGTTTTCCAGATCTGTCTCATAGATATTCCTATTAGGTAAACTCTGTGTTATACTGTTTCAGAAGGGGAGCTTATATTTTATTTCCAAATCCAAAAAAAATAATAATTATTTGAACACTTAAAATATATATTTCAATGATGGAGCCCACCAGAGATGCTGCAGAGTATTTTGCAGTGTCAGTGAGAGGCACCTGGCTCATCTGTTCAGTGATTTCTTTCACAAAAGGCCCAAGTATAATTTCAGTACTATTTTGAGGTGGAGATGTTGCCCCTTAGGCAGTGGGTTTGCAGGTGTTTCAGGTAGAGTTGGGAGAGTTGAGCTAGAAGGGAGTGGTTATGTAGCACCTGTGACTAATCCTAAAAACTACCAGTCAAACTGAAGGCCAGCAGCAGCAACAAGCTTAATGGAAAAGCTGAGTCTTTGCTATACAAGGGAATGATGATAAAGCATAAACACGAGGAAAGTTTGTTCCTTTGTCCTAACGAGCCGGTCTGCATAACTTCATTCTTGAAACAAGCTTCCAGTAGAGCTCCAAGATTGTAAAGCCAGCAGGTACTGCTCTGCTGGAGCCTAGCTTGTGAAGCCCAGAGAAACAGGCCACTGATGGCAGAGCTAGGCTTGTGTTTCATGGTTGAATGAAATCTGCTCACATTTAGAAAACCTGGCTCTGATGTTTAAGTGATCAGCAGTGTGAAATAATGTGCTGAAATGTGTGCAGTGGCTGGCTGTGTTTGGGAATGTGTGCCCTCTGCTGTGAGCTGCTTTAGATTTTACTTTGGTGTTAGGGTTCTCCTGGGGGTAGACTCTCATATCAGGAGACAGTTGCCAAATCATCAGCAGCCTACACATGGGTAGATTCACCTTGAGGCTTTGTCAGTCTAAGAAATTTTATACACAAACATTTGAATATTCTCACTGTTACTTGTCCACGTTATCAGCTATTGTAATTACAATGATACACCATTGATTGTCATCCAGACCTTGGAATCTCATTCACGCTTGATTTGATGCTGGAGCAGCATTGCTGCTGCAGTGCTGGTGTTTCAACAGCTCCTCACTCTTGTGAAGACAATACATGGAGCTCTGCACTCTTCTCCCCACGATAAAGTACTGTTCAAATAAGTAATCAAAACCTCAGAAAACAATAAATTTTTTCCTCATTAGACCATACTGCAAACCTAAGAGGAACTCTTCCAAATAATGAATGCTTGGGCAATAGTAGCAGAGCTTCTAAAAACTAGATTAAAAATAATAATAATAATAAATAGGGGGGGGGGGGGGGTAGAGTTTTTGCGTCGGTAAAGTTGGAAATGAGGAGACATTTCCTCTCAGAAAGAGCAGTCAGGCATTGGGACAGGTTGCCCAGGGAGGTGGTGGAGTCACTGTCCCTGGGGGTGTTTAAGGAAAAGTTGGACGTGGTGTTTAGGGGCATGGTTTTTGGGGTGAGAATGGTGGTAGGGTGGTGGTTGGACCAGCTGATCTTGGCGGTCCTTTCCAACATTAATGATTCTATGAAATTGTTTCATGGAGGAATGGGAGGAGTAGAGCATGGGCTCAGTGAGAGGCTGCATTCTGCATGTCGCTAAGTACTTGTAATTTCAACTTTCAGAAGAGGTCAGTGCTGTCCACCATACGGCTAATCTGGCCAAAATGGCCACATCTCTGCAGGCTCAGCATGCCCCTGATGCAGGGGAGAGCATCGGCTGCCCAGCCACTCCCTGAGCAGTTGGAGCACCTTGGGCACTGAGGACAGGCTGCAGCAGGAGGCCGCTTCCCCCTGGCCTGCCTTGGCAGCCTGAGGCAACTGGCAGGGCTCTGCTGCCCGTGCACCCTTGGGGCTGTCCCTTGCAGTGCTGTGCTGCAGGGAGCGGGGCTGGGATCCCACCGTGAAGCAGAAGCCTTGGCCACAACACTGCTCAGCGCTGGGGTTTGTGCCTATGCTTCCCAGCAGGAGAGAAGTGTTTGCAGAACCAGGAGCTGCTAGGGCTGGGAGCAGAACTGCCATGGGGCTGGAAGGAAGCAAGGCTCTGAGGCAGATGGGCCTGGGAAGGACTTATATTGGCTTTGGTGCCAGGCATTTTTACAAAATCACTAGAATGCAAATAGCAGAGAGGCAGCTGCTTAACTGCAGCTTCCTCCAGTGCCAGCAGCAGCCTTGGCTGCCCGTGGGTCAAACTGGAGGCTGAGGAATAAACCCCACTGGGGGTCAGGAAGAGGGCAGCCCCTGCCCTCAGGTGGCACCTGGGCCCAGGCTGAGCAAGCGTGTAAAGTTACAGGCTGCTTAAGAGAAGGAAAGGTAAAAATTTGCAATGGATGTGCAAGAGCAAATTAGATGTGAAAAATGGAGTGATTATTGAATGTGTAAAAGGTAGAAAACGTGTCAATAGTTGGGGTCTTGCCGCAGCCAACCTCTGAGAGCTCAAAGAAGGAAGGAAAGAAGGTTACTAGGCAGCGAAATTGCTTCTACATAAATTCTCACCACAGAGGAAGCTTCAGGCGCTTTCCCCAAACCTTTCTTTGCTGATAAGGGGCTGCTGAAAATGAGGGCTCAGTTGTCTTTCTGTTTTGATGCATTTATACTGCTTTTAATGAGGTCACAGCCTGCTTCATCTGGCTGAAAGAGTTGTAGCTAAGATCAGCGTTTGACAACAGTGTTTGCATTCTGACTCTTCTCTCACCTAGTCCTTTTGTTGGATCAATTTCTCCCCCTACCCCACCCAGAACATCAATTAAAATAAACATTTTTAAACCTTTAGGCCTGATTAATGTACCCTGAGGAACCATCCGTGCCAGGGGCAACAGCACAGGCAAAGCCCCCACAGATGCAGTGGATGGAAACTGGCACTGCTGCTTCAGCTGTCAGCTCATGATTTAGTCACCACCCCTCACCTGTTAATGAGGTGCTCTTTCATTAAGATATTAGAAAGTTATTGCTGTGTGGCCAGCAGGATCCTGGTTAATGGCCAGTTTAAAGGTTTAAAAAGCAGCTTCTTGTGATGAAAGTGGGGTGGTCTCCTCCTGGCTGCTTCTGCTCTGGGGCAGGGTCTGTTCCTCATCAGGCTGAAGGGAGTGATTAAAAGGGGGGGCTCCCAGGCCCTGTGCTGCACAGACAACACCATCACCCAAAAAACAATAATCTGTATGTGAAGTGAGGGGCCTGGTTGGGTTGGTTTGTGCCTCTGCCTGAGTTGCGTTGCTGTCAGTGAGCACAGCTGCGGCCAGGCCAGACGCAGGCCCTCTCTGTGGAGCAGTCAGGGAAGCGTCCCATGGGAGCAGAAGGCAAAGGCCTGGGGTGATGCCTGAGGGCTCAGCAGATCACAGCGAGGAAACCCAGGGCTGGGATGGAGGTCTTGCCGTGTCCTGAGGTGCCTGGGCATCAGTGCTGGAGGGGCCTCACTCCCCAGGAGCGCTGCGCTCAGCTGTGGTGAATGACAGCAGCTGAGGCAGGTGAAGGCTGCAACCAGGCCTGGGTGCCCATCCTGGGGCTGCAGCTGAGCGGGGTCCTGCCCTCAGCTGTTCTTCACCCCTTTCCCTGCAGAGCCCATCTCTGGTACCTCCCCATCTGTCAGGAGGAGGTAGGAGCTGATAGCTTCCCGAAGGCCCAGGCTGATGGGGGAATCCTCCTCTTCCTCCAGTGGTGGCACAGCCTCCGACAACAGGACAGAACTGCAAGGGGCAGATGGGGCCGTCAGCAGGCAGTGCCAGCCCCACAGGGGGAACCCACAACCTTGGTGGCCAACCCTACCTGTCGATCTTGTCCCAGTTGAGTGATGGCTTCTTCACCACGGTGGGCTGGGCCAGGGCTGGAGCTGCCCTCGCACCCTCTATGGAGCAGGGCTGCCTGAGGGCACAGCACAGCCCCTCCCCACACTCTGGGCAGGGGCCAGGGGCGTCAGTGCAATGCCCCCATTCCTGCACATCAGCCCCACGGGCAGGTGCCACTGCCCACCTGCTTCCCCGCAGGGCCCTGGTAGGTGACACCTGACCCCGGGACTGGCGGCCCTTACCTGTGTAGTGGTCCACGAGATCGTGCAGGTTGGAGAAGGTGAGCCGCGGAGAGATGTAGAGCCAGCCGTTCTCCAGGCGGTGGATGCGGTAGTGTGTGACCGAGTCCCAGGAGGTGAGCTCAGTGCGCCGCACCGACAGGGAGTAGCAGCCTGCAAGGGTGCAGGGCTGGGGTGCCACAGGGCAGGACCCCACTCAGCCCCGGGCTGGAGCAGCCTCAATTTTTGCCACCCAACTGGGGTGGCCGGGAGCTCCTCATGGGCCCATGCAGCTACCGTGGGGTGCCAGCCCCACACCACAAGCACCCTACCCTGGGGACAGGAGAGTTCCAGGGTGTGGCCCAAGCAGTGTCCCCCAAAAGCTGCCATGGCACCAGGATGGGGGTGGTGCTGCAAGGAGGGAGCATAAAGCTGCTGGGAGAAGGGCTGAGCTGAGCGCTGCCCTGAGACTGGGCCCTGTGCCAGGGCTATGCGCTCAGTGGAGTTCCCTCTGGGGGGGAGGGAAATTGGGCCCCTGTTTCATCTTTGCACATTTTTGCTTAACCAAATGCTGCAGGAAGCCTGTTTGTTGATTTGTAAGGGGCCCTGTGGTGGAGGAAGAGGCTCGGCATGAAGCAGAGAGCAGCAGCACCAGGAAACCACCATGCAAGGCCTGCCACCAGGTGCAATGGAGGAGCAGCCCCAAAGCACAGGGCCCTGCTTGTGCCCTCAGCACCCCAGAGCAGAGAGGCCATGAAATACTTGAAGTGCACCTGGGGAGAGGTGGGGGGAGAGGGGGCTGGGACGGGGCAGGGGAGGCGATATCAGGACTTGACAGCACTGTGCACAGGCTCTGGGGGAGTCTCAAGCGATCGGCTTTGTCCTACATGCAATGGAGCTGTCACCATGGCCACCCTGCCCCAGCCCAGCAGCACTGCCTGTCCCGCCTGTCTGGTCAAAGACCCTCTTTGCCTGGGGCTGTGGGTCCTGAACACCCCTCCCTCCCCCTTCAGCACACGCTGTGGGGCCGTGCACTCACCTTTCCTGGTCTGGCTCTGCCGGATCAGGAAGGACCCGCTGTGGTTGCCAGGTCGGAGCAGCAACTCCTCTGCCTTCTCCCGGCTGATGCCCTCGTACAGCCACCTGGATGGGCAGTGGGTGTTGGCAGAGCTGTGCCGAGGTGGCTGCCTGAGCAGGGTGGCAGCACCTCACGCCCCGGGGATGGGGACAGGTGGGGTGGTCCCACAGCAAAGCCTGTGGGCTGCAGGGCGCAGCATCTGGCCTCAATCTTGTGCAGCGTGAGGCGTGGGGATGCAGGGCCGGGACACCCTGCACGCCTTGCCACATCACCAAGCTCTGCCCCACGGCTGAGTGTCAGCAATGGAACTTCAGGCCCCGGCACAGTGGCTGGGGTTTGGCCTCAGGGACAATCCCTCCTCCTCTGAAGTGGGAAAGCAGCAACAAAGCACCCCTGCTTTGGCCCTGCCCCCCACCCCCACCCCCTAGCACTGGGGTGGAGATGGCAGAGCCATCCCTTGGGTGCCCCAATGCCTATGGGACACTGCAGCCCCCCTTCCGGGGGGGGACACTCCGCTGTACCATGGCAGCACAGGCTGCATGGTGGCTGGCATTTCCCAGCCACGGCTTCAGTGCCAGAAAATGAACCTGGACACCAGCGGGGCTGGGTACTTGAGAGGCCTGGCAGTGCCCCATGTGCCCCCAGCCCTTCCATGGGGCTGTGTCTGCTGGGCGCCAGCCTGGGATAGCACCTACCTGTGCCACACCTTGGCCACGCAGCTGCTGGGGATGAGGCACTCCTTGCCAGACACCTTGGACGCCACCAACCACCACTCCCCGTCCCTGCAGGGAAGGGGACAAGATGTCCTGCGGCTGCTGGGTGCACGAAAGGGGCTCCCCATGGCCACAGGGGATGGGTGCCGGCACTGCTGGCCGGCGGTGCCCTCTCACTGTGGGGAACTTACTCAGAGAGGACGTTGAGCTGCTCTCCCATCCTCAGGACAGTGGGTGCATCTGAGCCAGAGGGGAAGTCGCACAGGGCCAGTGCCAGGAAGCTGTTCGGGGCTGTGGGGAACAACACGGGGCTCAGTGCTCTGGAGGACCGTGCCCACCAGGGTGTGCTGGGGGCTGCTGAGCACTCACCTGCCTGCGTGGGCATCGGGGACGGTGTGGGGACAGCAGCTGCCATTGGGATGCTGAACGGCTTCTCCCGGCTGGGCAGGCTCCCCATCCTTCGCTGCACCTGTGGGGGTCAGCGCCTGCCCCCGGCCACCACCCGCAGCCACGACTGGCTGCAAGGGAAGGAGAGGGTTGGGCTGGCCCTGGCAACACCCGTGGGCAGAGGGACTGGGCCGCCTGCAGCCATGTGCCCCATGGCACAGCCGTGTCGGGATCTGGGCCTCAGGGGTATGGCCACACACCCTGGGGCAGGGCAGCGCCACTGGGTGCATCGGCACCATGGGGCTCTGGGCTGGGGCTGAGCTCCCAGGGGAACCCTTCGAGGAAACCGCCTGCCCACGGGATAGCATCTGGGGACCCGCAGCTGCAGCCAGGTGGGCTGGGGTCCCTCCTGGGGACAAGGCATATATGCTGTGTGGGGACCAGAAAGCCCCCATCCCCAGGCTGCCACAGAACCATGTGGGGCTGTGCTCACCCGCTCAGCACAGCCACCCTTCCCTGCCCCAGATTCCCACGGGATGTGGGGTGCTCATCGCAGAGCCCGAAGGTGCCAGTCCTCATACAGTGCCTGCGGGCTACGAGTGTCCCCTCTATCTGCAGCAGTGCATTTCAGCTCTGTGCCCCAGTGAGGCACAGTCAAAGCTGTGCACGACCCAGATCCATGGACGGAGCCTCCTGGCTCTGCTGCTGCCCTCACCTACCTGCTGCTTGCTGCTGTCACCATCGCACCAGGCTCATCAGGGCTGGGCAGTCATCGGCTGGGCTCTGCTGTGCTGGGTGGTGCCTCCAGCGTGGTCCCCAAGGCACCGAGGCTCCACAGAGGGGATCCTCCTGCAGTGATGGGGCTCCCTCATTCAGGGAAGGTCCTGTTCGCTGCCTCCTTGTCCTTCTGCTCTAGGTTTGGGTATTTTCCTGTGCTGGAGCCAGAGGCTAGGCTGCTCTTGGCCGTGCTGCCTGCTCGGGGTGCGTGGTGATGGGGCTGAGCGCTGCCTGGGCACCAGCAGCTGCTGGTGTTTCCTGTGACGCATGCGCACCACGGCGGGGGTTCTGGTTTTCACTCAGCCAGCAGTCTGCTCAGCACTGCCCGCAGGGAGGCCTCGGTACGGGGTGAGAAAAGCCTCAGGTGCAGTTTCGGGCAGCTGCCTGGAGCCACCGTAGCCATTGCCCTGGGTGCCACCAGGCTCTCCTTCACCACCAGGCGTGTGGGGACAGCCACTGGGAGCTGCAGCTCTGGGTGACTCAGCCATCCCCTACCTGGTGGCCAGCCGACATGGCACCAGCTGCACCCCATGAAGCAGCGGAGGTTTGGGGCCAGAGGACCCCAGGGCTGCAGCTTGGCCACGTGTGGTGCTCCAGAAGCTGTGGCACCAATGATGTGGTTCTTTGTCTACCCAAATGGCTCTGGCTTTGCTGGGCCAGCTCTTACGTGGCTGGAGCAGAGAGGTCAGCAGCAATTTGCCAAAAAGTAAGTCTGGACCTTGAGACAAGGCACTTGGTGCTGGAGGGTGGTCACAAACTCAGATGCCTGGGGAAGACATGATGAGACCTCATCCAGCTGCAGTCCTGGGTGCAGACATGCAGCACGGACATGGATGGAGCCAAACTCACAGCCTGGCTCCCACACAGTGACCAGGAGATGATCCAGAACTTGCACAGCTGCCCTGAACACAACCACCATCCTTGAAAAGCAACTGGCCTTGAGCGCAAGCACCTGCTTGGGGTCACATCCTGCCAGAGCACCCCGATTGCAACCAACCCCATTGTATGGGGGATTTGGGGCTGAATTTGCATCTCAAATTGCATCTTTTTTGGGTCAAGGAGAGGGCAGGGATATTTGCAATGAAAAGATGGGCTGTTTGATGAACGACAATGTTTGATCCCCAGACTCTGCCACAGGAGTGTGGCTCAGTTTTCTAAGGCCTGCGATTTCACGGGAGGGCGGGACACTGGCGCTAGGCAGCAGGAGCTGCAGTTGCTGGGTGGAGCAGAGGTCTCGTGGCACACTGCTTCCCTGCATGCACACGGATGGGTGGATCATCCCAAGGGACAGTGAGGGCAGCCCAACCCTGTGGTGCCCTTCGCCCTGCCTCGCTTCCCCATGTAGCACCAGCAGGCACCACAAGGCCCGTGAGCACAGCAAGGCTGAGGGACCCCTCATCCAGGTGCTGCGGCCACACTGATGGCCCCCCCACACCTCTACACCTCTTTGGCCAGGTCCAGATGAGGGGAGTAGCCCCATTTCCCCCAAGGAGAGGCTTCAGGGGTTGTTCGTGCAGCTTTGCTGAGCTCACCCTAGGCTGGGAAGCGCCGTGCTGCCACGCACGGCCCCGCTGTGCCTCCCTGGCCCCGTACCCCCCCTCCCCCCCAGCCCCAGTGCCCTGGTTGTGCCGCTGTGGCTGAACATCCTGCTGCTATTTGTGTTTCTGGTCAGTCGTAAACCACCGTGTTGGTGTGAAGTGCACACGGAAAAGAACAGCGTATTACTAAAGCAGACACCCGTAATGGCCTCACACTGCTCTTGCGGTTTGGGACGCCCCTGCTCTGGGTTTGGTCAGTGCTGGCTGCAGCAAACAAACAGCTTGCAGAAATATGTGGGGCTGAGCAAAGGTTCGTCTGCTCCTGGAAAAAGCACCACTGGTGTGCCCACCAACCTGCCCAAATGTGGCTCAGCTCCTCAAGCCCTGCTCTGCACCGCCTGGCATCTTCCTGAATTAGTGGTAGTGAAGAAAATGGGGCCCCCAGACTCAAACAGGGTGGGCAAGGGGCCTTTGTCTTACTGCTGTGGCAGCTTTTGGCCATGCTACCTCCTGTGACCGAGTGGGTGGAAGGAAGCAAGAGGAACCCATGGGTTTGTGCAGACTCATGATGTGCCAGGACCCAGCCCCTCTCCTGCCACGTATCTGCAGGGGCAGCAGCGACGGGATGGCTTCAGTGTCTCGGCTCCAGCAGCAGGGAAAGGGTCAGCAGAAGGCAAGCCACCCCAGCTGCCTCTGCAGGTTAAAATCAAGTAATAAATGTGGTGGTGGGAAGGAGACACTGAGGTCCCCAGTCCGACTTCCTCCTCCACCAGCAGTGACACCACACCGGCTGTGGCTCTGTTTTGAAAGCCTCCAGGCCCAGATGGCCATTCCCAGCTGTGGTCCTGGGGCTGCAGCACCCTCCAGGCGTACAAGCAAGGAAAATTCCTGGTCAGATCTGAGCCCCACCAAACCCCACTTTTTGGCTGCTACTCCCTGCAGCATCACCTGGCCCTGTGGAGGAGGATTCAAGGCCGCTGCCTTTCAGCAGTGAGCATGGCCCAGCTGTGAGCACGGCTGCCCACAGCTCCCGCTGGGGCCACAGGGCTGCGCTTGCAGGAGTGAAGCCGCAAGGACGGTGGTTTTGTGAGTAATGCGCAGCAGCCTCCAGCACAGGGTGTTGCACCCAGCAGCAGCCCCTCAGAAACCTCAGCCCAAGGCAGTAAGAAATATTTCCATTGCCCACCCCTGAGAAACCTGCAGCTGCGCTGAGCTCAGTGAGAATGACCCCGTGCAGCTGAAGAAAACAACGCAAGCTTTTAATACCACAGCTTGGGAGCCTGAGCCATGAGTGCCACGGGGTGTGGAACTGTGCAGATACGTCCCTCCACATGGGCCAAGCACCGGTGTGATTTGGGATCCTGGCCCAAGGGAAGCACGTCCTCAGCTCAAGCTTTGCTCTTGGATTTGGTTGGCCTTGCTTTTGTCACCTGAAGAAACATCCTGTCTTTTGTTTAACTGGGAATAGTTGTTCCCACTTCGTGTTTTGCTTTGATGCTTCTATTTTTATCAAAAAAGCATTTACTTCTGTGAAAATAATTTACTTTCTCCATATGAGAATCCTCACTACAAATCTTAAATCTTGCCTTGCTTATGCCTTTGAACCACTGTCCTGGTTTCAGTTAGGACAGAGTTAATTTTCCTCCTAGTAGCTGGTAGGGTGCTATGTTTGGGATTAGGATGAGAAGAGTGCTGATAACACCCCGATGTTTTAATTGTTGCAGAGCAGTGCTTACACCAAGCCAAGGACGTTTCAGCTTCTCGCTCTGTCCTGCCAGCAGGCAGGCTGGGGGTGCAGCAAGAGCTGGGAGGGGACAGACCCAGGACAGGTGACCCAAAGTGGCCAAAGGGGTATTCCGTACCGTATGGGGTCATGCTGGACAATATATAGGGGTGGCCAGCCGGGGTGGGGGACCGGGCTGCTCGGGGTTAGGCTGGGCATTGGTCAGCAGGTGGTGAGCAATTGCATTGCGCATCACTTGTTTCATACACATTATTAGTAGTACTATTATCATCATTATTGTTGTTATTATTATTATTTTCCTGTCTTAATGAACTGTCTTTATCTCAACCCACGGGCTTCACTTTCCCGTTTCTCTCCCCCATCCCAGAGAGGGAGAGGGGAGGGTGAGCGAATGGCTGTGTGCTGTTTAGCTGCCGGCCGGGTTAAACCACAACAACCACCATGGCAACAAACTTCTTTCTTAATCAGCCCTCTTTCAAATTGATAAAATCTCTTCTGTTTGCCCTCCCTGGTCCTTCCTTGGTCCGCAGGAGCCTGTAGCTGTGGGGGCTCCTGCTGAAATGCACATCATAAACACACTCGGTGAGCACACATCAACCCCTGCTGTGGTGTTATTTCCTCTAAGTCATTTCGTTGTCATTTTAATATTGTGTTTGCCTTTCTTTTGGTCTGTCTCTGTATTTTCATAAGGGAACTTGGGGAAGAATCACTTGTCTGCCCAGCTACTTCTCAGTGTAGTCAGCTGGAATAAAACCCTGCTGCATGCACAACTCTTCTGAACATGTTGCTTTGCATTCAGCACTTGCATTTAGCAGCGAGGAATTTCATGTGGTATCTGAGGGACTGACCTCTTTCATATTCTCCTGTCTTCAGTAGACTTGAACTTATTTTACTGCAGTTGGCCATTTTTTCCTGTTTCAATTGGTTGCAAACCTTTCAATCAGTTTGCAGTTCTGGAAAACACTTTGTCTCACTTCCTGCAGTGCCAGTTCCCCAAAGGCCTGCAGAAAGTCCAAAGCACGAAGCTGCATGAGCCCACCCTGTGGACATGACAGCAGGACCAGGACTAAGCTGTGACCAGCACGTAAGCACTCTTGAAGCCCAGATAGCTTTCTGTGAGTGCGTGATGACAGACTTCTGAGACTTAAGAGCAAAATCTGGATCTGAAAAGCAGAAGATAAACAGTTACGTTGAATGATCAGTTGCTCAGCATTGCTCCATCTGCACCTGGCTGGACATGTGTGCAGGCTGAAGAGTAAACAGATCTTATAGTGCTTACACTTTCCTTCCTTGTCACGGGTATTACAGGTTAACTTTGTGTTATACCAGTAAATCACACAGGTGCATTGTGCTGTTCACCAGGGAAGACAGCTCCTAAGACTTGCTGCCTTTGTTCAGAGGCAATTCTTGGCGGCGTCCGCTTTGTAGCAAGCCTTTTGTTTAGTCTCACTCTGTCAAAGCTGGAAGCTTCTTTCTGCATTTTGGCAGAGGCCAGCTACCTGATGCCTCTAGACAGCCTCTTGCAGGGGATGCTGTGCCACCCGGCTCCTGCCCAGCCCCTAGGAAACCTCTTGGAAGAGGGGGCCAACGCTGCCCCTTCCATGGGGCCTCTGACAGGAGGAAACACTGCAACTGACAAAACCGGCTGCAGTGCTAGGTCAGGCCAAGAGAAACAACACAAGCACACAGGGTAACAATGAAACTCAGTTATAGCTTTATTTAATAACTGGTACAAAGTCCCCCTCAGGCAGAGCCTCCCAGTCCCATTCCCTACCTGAAATGGAGCAGAACATGAGTGTGACCCTCGGAGGAGCTGGCTCCCATTGAGTCAGGACTGCTCAGCTGTTAAGAAAGGACGTGTTGCTCGTCTCTCAAGACCTGTAGTAGCCTGGCCACTCATCCCTTTTCTCCCATTAACAGCTAGACCCTGGCACGCAGCAGGCATTTGCCTCCTGCCCTCTGTGACCCAGCCAGATGCAAAAAGGCAGAA